GGGTGATGTATTTAAAAAAAAAAAAAAAAACATTGGAAATTTAGCTCCCTAAATGGCTCCACAGAATATGTTCTGTCACTAAAAGAGAAATCAAGGCATTATTTTTACACTGTTTTCACTATGAACACTACAAAATAATAATAATAATAATAATAATTATTATTATTATTATTATTATTTTGTAGTGTTCATAGTGAAAACAGTGTAAAAATAATGCCTTGATTTCTCTTTTAGTGACAGAACATATTCTGTGGAGCCATTTAGGGAGCTAAATTTCCAATGTTTTTTTTTTTTTTTTTAAATACATCACCCAGTAGGTTCTCGGATTCAAACTGTCGAAGACCAATGGAAAATGATATATATTTCTCCTGCTAATATGACCCAGCTTTTTAAGAATTTAAGAGTTGTTTTAATTTATTTAACAAAGGAGATATGAATATAGCCTTTGCGATAGGTTTCCATGACTTTGCCAGAAGAGACATACGGCAGCCTCAGAGATGAAATTACACAGGCCTGGATTCATTTACCTCTCACTTTTCAACTCTGATGACGTGCATCAAGTTACCATTAAGACAGTAGGCCTATACACTTTTAGGCTGGATAATGACACTGATTTACTATTTATTTCAGTTTGGCTGTTACAGGTTACTGCACAAAGTTAATATAATGACACCGATGACCGCATACTTTCAGATTTGGAGTAAGTAGCATATTAAAAAGCTGCCTGGAAAAAGTTACCCACTAGGACACAATTTATTTTCAATGAGATTCGTGAATTGTCATGATATTTATAGTGGTCGTAATTTTGCAAAATTGGATGAAACTGGACACATGCTACCAATATTTAGCAAATATTTTCATATGCACTGAAAGGCTTGGATTAACAGATCAATCTTGGGAAGTTAAGAATCAATACCGGATTATTCAAAGAAAGAAATCGTAATACACTTTCATTAGCAGCGCACTTAAAAGCGCTTCAGCATTTACTGTGTCCTCTCAGGTCTTACATAATTTCTGTGCTATTTTAACGCGATTAAACAGAGCAGGGTCTTTTCGTTCCTTCTGTCAAAGTCAAAACCGGAGCTGATTTTATTATGATCCTCTCTGCATCTCACCACGAAGCCTGTCAGATTTGAGGGAGTTCAGCGTGTTCATTCAGGCTGATGGGAATGGCTTTTCAAAGCTGGCATTGTTTAAGAGCTGTTTCTACACTCTCAGCGCTTGTTGCAGAAGCTTAACAAAACCTTGGGGCTTTGCACGTCCCTGGTGAAAAGCACCTCTTGTTTTTAGAAGTAAGCCATCTAAAGACATGGGTGCCTGGGGTCTGGAGCATTCTGTGATTCTGGGCCCTTCGAGGTTTCTTTCATTTGCTTTGAGGAATTACAAAACGACAGTCTTAAGACTGCAGCACCGTGGGCTCGTGGGAGCAGCGGGGTGGAGAGAGCTCGCTGCCGCTCTGCAGGTGATGCCAGAGAGATGCTTTGCAGA